ACACACACACACACACACAGACACACACACACACAGACATACGGACAAGATTGCAAAATTATGTTTTTCCGTATCAGTGAGGTGTAAAACGTCGAGATTTGTAAAAATCTCGATTTTTTTTTTTTTGCACGATTACAATACTTTCTCTATACTTCGTATATACGAGAAAGTAAAAATCAGAAAAAAAAACGTTTTAATAACAAGCTTTTATGTAATAATGCACTAAAAAGTAGAAGATAAATTATACACTACTATTTAAATAACTATAAAGAAAAGCGTGGGTTACTTTAGTATCTATTGTATACCTTTACTAATGTTTAGGAAGAGACCCACGCTTTTCTTCATAGTTATTTAAATAGTAGTGTATAATTTATTTTCTCCTTTTTAGTGCATTATTACATAAACGCTTGTTATTAAAATCTTTTTTTATGAAAATTTTTACAATCTTTTATTTAACTCACTTCCTTGTCAGTCTGTCTAAACCGAAACTTTAGTGTCTATTGGATACCTTTACTAATACTATGATACTATGTTTTCCCTCATAGTAACAGAGAATTTTAAACAAAAAAAATGGATTTTTAAATAAAAAAACTCTATGAAGCATGTGTGTAAACAAATAATTCCCCCCCCCCCCCCCCCCCAAAAAAAAATCACTAACAACACCAGGAAACAACTAGATCTAGTAGACCAGTGGTTCCCAAAATTTTCAAGTGGCGAACACCTTTTATAAAAAGTAAGTGACCCGCGATCCTCATAGAATTAAAAAAGTCGATAGTAAGGAAATTAATAAGCACTAAAATAAGATTTTCTAGTAGTCTCTCAATATGAATTATTCTTGATAACTGTTTTAATACGATGAGTAACATTGCATAGTATTAACTTTTACTAGCCTCGACATTCACGGTTGAATTTCATGTTTGGGTATGAAAGGTGAATAGTGAATATATTACACCAAAATTGTGTGAGCATGTTATTATTTAACACAGTACGTGACGCGGAATCATTCCGCGAATTTATGAATTCATCTTGTAATTCATCGGGAATGCTGGCAACATCAAAGGAAGCAGAGAATCGATGCAGTTTCTTGTTTCTTCTCAAGGAAATAACTCCACAGTTCGTTTTCAAGAGATTCGAGATGCCCAGAATCCTCGTTCAAATTTTTATTTATCTCACAATCAGATTCATCTACCACACTGCAGAGTTTCTCAAACATGGCAATATTTCAAAGATTTATTTTTCTTCGCCAGTTTTGTAGCTTTGATAAAAATACCCCGAGTTTACCAAGAAAAGAGATAATATTCGTTCATTTTCCCAGAAGTTTCAGGGTAAGCATATGTTGATGTTCGAATATATCTGCTAGGTATGATACTCTCTCCAACCACTCTTTGTTGTTAAAATATATTAAAAGGTCTTGTTTCCCTTGCACTTCCTAGAACAATTTGAATTCATCTTTCAATCCAAAAACACGATTCCCAACATTTCCCTTTGACAGTCAGCGTACTGTAGCAAAACAGAACCACGTGATCTTCATTCATGGCTTTGCACAGTTCTGTAAACAGACGGGTGTTTAGGGCTCTAGACTTAATAGACTTTACGACTTTTATTAGCAATGGAGTCGGAAGAGTCTTGCTGGCGAGGACATATGGATGAATTATGCAGTGGATTCCCATTGGTTAGGGAGCTAAATCTTTTACTGTTTTCTGAAAGCCCGATCTCGACCCAAACATGGAGGGCGCACCATCCGTACAAACCCCACAGCCGTATTCCCATTTTAATTATCCAGTTTCAAAAAACGTATTTACTTTCTCCATGATACCTTCACAATATAACTATCCTTAACTATTATCTGAATGAATATATTTCACCAGTGGCGTAGCCAGGATCGTCTCAAGGGAGGGGGGTTCCAATTTTTACCCGGGGACAAACTTTCGATTTGCACCCCCCCCCTCAAACTTTCGATTTGCACCCCACCCCCTCTTACTTTTTCTATATACCGAGGGGTCTATGGGGGGTATGACCCCCCCTAACCCCCCCCCCCCCCTGCCTACGCCACTGTATTTCACAAAACAAGCAACTGCGAATACGAACTTACGTCTTTTGATTCATCAACTTGAAAAGCAAACGATTGTGAAAGCTTGATTTCATTCAAAATTTGTTCTTAACATCTATGCACATGTCTGCTATAAGCCGCTCAATAGTATTATTAGACAGAGATATTTGTTGTATCTTGACTGCACTGGAATCCCCAAGAATTAATTTCACCATCTTCAACATGCAGGGTTTGATGAAATTTTCTCCTATTGTGTGATCCTGTTCGATCAAGTCTCTGACGTGTGCAACTCGCTTCATGCCGACGAAAGAACTCCATAGATCTATCTTTTTTTGTGTGTTCCGAATGACTCGTCTCAAAATTACGTTTTAGTTTTGAAGGTTTCATAGACTCATGGCTGAGAACAACTTTGCACAGTACGCATTGTTTCTTCTCTATTCCATTCCCAGTGATGTTAGTAAAGTCGAATTTCAAATATTTTTCTAAATATTTATGTTTTTAATTTATTTGCTAGGGTTTAGTCTACCAGTTGGCGACCAAACTTTGGGTCGCGACCCAACTGGAGGTCGCGACCCACAGTTTGTTCGCCCCCCATACGAAGAGATGCCTGGAAGAAACTCGAATTCCGATATGTATTGATTGTTAACATTGTTAATAATGTTATCATATTTACCATTTGTGGTGTATCGCACGGTAGTCTTTGTCTAAGCGCTTCCGGTCCTTTTTATTGTGGTTTCCGGTGCATCGTTAGCGAAATCTTACCTCTGCTTTGACTCGTTCTGGCTAAAAATCGTTGATATAACAAAAGGCAACTGCTTGTCTAGAGATTTTAATTATATTCTGGCTAAAATCGTTGATACAATAAACGGCAACTGCTTGTCTAGATATTTTAATTATAATTAACAATATTTGATTTTTTTTTCAATTAGACTTCAAAGATTACCTCTCAATGAATGATACCCGCACCGGTAAACCGAAAGTTAACACTTCCCGCAGATCACGGTACGTGACTCGTGGCTCATGTATTTTGTATGTAGCACGTACCTGAGTCCACCCAGCTGATGTTGCCTGACATTGTTAAAAAAAAACATTTTAACTTTGTTAAATAAATGACGGCTGAGCTTGGTGCTGACCACATCCCGTGTTCTCGGGGAGGGGGGGGGGGGGTAAATGGGAAAGGTAGGCTGAACTTTTTGGCCTTCATTATGCTTGTAGTTTATCAAAATAATCCGTCGTCTGTAGCCTACATTTACACTTCTGAAAAAAAATTTAGAACTTATTATTATGTTAATAGCGCAAGCGCAGACCATGTAAGCCTAAGTCAAACGACCAAATTGCTTAACGCCCCTAGACCAGGGGTTGGCAACCTGCGGCTCGCGAGCCGCATGCGGCACTTTTGATGTCAAGGTGCGGCTCTCGAGTTCCATGCACAAAAATTAAAAGTTATATTATTTCATGTTCAAATCTTATAAAAAATATAATGTAAAGAAAAACAACTTTAAAAAGGATTAAAACACTCATCAGAGAACAGAGAGAATAGGCTAGGTAGAAATATGCGGACAGCTTGCAGCCGCTTGGGCACCAGGCCCAGCCCCACAGCCGTACTGTAGCTAGCGACTATTCCATGTTTGCCACTGTCAAAGTGCCGCCTTTTTCGAATTTTGTTAAATGGGGAATATTATTTTTATACAGAATGCACTCCTCTACCTGTCAGTATGCATTAATTTGACCTGAGTGACGAAGTATTTTAGTTTTTAGTTTCCTACGGTTGAGCCAGGTAATGGACTCTGGGTTCGTGTAGGGTGAAAGATAAGCCATGTCAGAACCAAAGTTTCTTCCAGGCATCTCTTTTTCCCTAAGAAAGTCTACCGCCCCCCCCCCCCCCCCCCCGAACGAGATGGCTTTTAATTTTTATGTAGTAAACATATACTTTTACTAGTGTCCGCCCCCCGAAAAATGTTGACCGTCCCCCTCCCCCCCCCCCGAAAATTTCAAAAGCCTCCCCCCTCCCCCCCCCCCCCCGGAGAAAAAAGTCTGGAAGAAACACTGGTCAGAACCAAAAGACAGAAGCTACCAATACAGTAATCAAATCGATATTCAAGCCTGTTAGACGGAGTTTGCCGTGTTGAGGCCTGCCTGGCTATGAAAGACACCTACTGAACCAGTGGTGTCCGTAAAGAAAGGAAAAAACATTGTTTGGCTTCTAAAGTGAATTGGGATAGTGACCAGGGGTCGGCAACCTTTTGAAGCGGAAGAGCCAAAAGTTACAATTTTCAAAATTTCCCTGGTTTTAAAGAGCCACTAACATTTTTTTTATTTCAAATATTTTATTTTTTAATTAAGATTATTAGTATTTTTTCAAGGAGCTGGAGAGCCGCATCTTGATATCAAAAGAGCCGCATGCGGCTCGCGAGCCGCAGGTTGCCGACCCCTGGGATAGTCTTATAGATATAATATATATGTGATTATTTATTTTATCATAGCAGATCTAGCTAAAACAGTTCTTGTGAGAAACATTGGTTTGTTTTCATTTGAAACAATAAGTTCATATAATTTAATGCTATTTATTTCAAATCAAAAACAAATTTATTTACTTAATCCTTATCAAATACAAAAATATTGAAAAAAATAATGTAAGTGGCTCTTTATATTAAACTGGGAAATTATGTAAATTGTAATATTTGGCTCTTCCGTCTCAAAAGGTTGCCGACCCCTGCCCTAGACCAAGCCTATTTTCACCTTTTAGAATGTGAATTAATTTATATATGTTGCTATTGAACTGAACTAATGTCGCAAAAATATTGCATTACATTTCGTCCAAAATAATTTTATTTTTTATTTTTTTAGCTAGGCATAATAAAAGTTGTTTTTGTGTGTGTGGTATTCCTTGTTTTAAACAGATTATTATTTTATTTATTTCGTTAATTGTTTAGTGTAACTCTGTTTTTAGTAGGCTAGTGGGAAGCATCTTTTCCGCTTCCTTTCTCATCTCCTAAAGAGTACGTGCATTAGTAGACTTTTAAGTCTTGAAACAAATCCATTACCATCATCCAAAATGAGAGTTTACAAGTGTATCGTTACTGGTAAGAATAAATACAATTAATACTTGGTTAATAATATTTAAAAAAAAATATTAACCATTAATTTTACCAGGATAGATCTCAAATATAATGTAATGTTTAATAGATCTATTCTAGTTTCAAACCAAAAGTTATGTTACGTTTGTTTTGTTTAAAAAAATTATTTAAATCTAGATCTAGTTCTTGGACAAAGAGGTTAGTCTTCTTAGTCCTCTATACCATACAACTGGTTTTCACTCATGTTAAATTTAATTATTAGGATTTGCTATGGCAAAGGCTTAGCTAGAAAATAAATGTAAACAATACCCAACTTTGCCTGAATTCTAGATTCTTAGTGATTCTACTAAACTAATCCTAGATCTAGTTAGATTTAATTTTAATTAGTCTAGGATATGAATCTATAAATTATAAAGATATCGGTAGGCCTACCTGGATCTAATAAAATCTTGTTGGTTTTTTTTTTACTACTGACTAGTTTTAGTAAGGAAATAGTAATTTGGTTTCCGGAGTTCTCCTATTAAAGTTTTAACGAAATGACTACTTGGAAGATTTTTCTCCCCAACATCTCCACCTAGTTGGCAAAAGATAGCTCTGCGCATGCGCAGTGACCTAGGGTTAGGGATAGGATTAGGGTTGGTTTTTTAGGGTTCTGCGGTTGTAAACACATGCATGCGCAGTACCATCGAAAACATCGCCGTGATGGCAAGTCGTAGTTTCTCTCCATTGCGCATTCGTATCTTTTTCCGGCTAGCATCGGCCAAGTTTTAAATCCAAATCAAATATGGTAGGAATAAAAAAATTTTTTTACTCTCACCAGTTAATTTAATAATTTTGTTTCAGGAGATGAACTTTTCACAGATACTTACCCAATAGAACTAAAGGACGGCCTGTACAAAATTAAAGGAAAAGTAATTCATTTTTCACTTAAGTATTCAAGTAACTGTTTAGAACCAGACAATTCACCTAGTTTTTTGTAAGAATTCAGATTTTAGTATAGGCTAAACATTAAGTCTAATTGTTAGATTATCATAGCCTTTTTTCTGAATTTGTTTTTTCACAAGAAAATAACATAGAGGAGTTTACACTTTTCGGACACACACCAAAAATTACGTAGGACCGAACACTTCGTCGGTTTTTGGCTCATAGAAACTTTAATTAGCATGTCTCACGCGAAACCACGGCGCCTGCACGTAAACTGTTCATTTATGAACACTTCCGTGTCAAGTACTTCCGTTTCCTTTCTCAAGAATCATTTTTAGAAATTTTTTAACGTTGCATGGTACGCACATTTCTATTTTTACACCAGCCGGATGAAGTGACCTAGGGTTGGACTTAGGGGCAAAACTTGAACCAATCAATGCTTAGCTAAAAGGTTACACTATAAATAGCTTCTATATATGTATGGAACATCGTAAATGTCAAGGTTAATGGGTTTTTTCGTGCTTGAACAATAAAAAAGGGGTGTTCGCTAACTTATTTGGCCTTACATGGGACCGGACAGCAACACAAAAATATTATTAAATAAGAATTTAGAGCATAAAAGGGGCTGGTTATTGAAGGGAAAGGGTCAAAATAAGGTCAAGATGGCAGTGGAATGCGAAAGAGGAGGGGGAATCATGTGACCTGGCTGGCTTAGCAGCGTACTGCGCGAGCCGCAATGGCTGAATGGGATGAACTTTGGGAGTGTGGGAAAAAGGTTTTATACTATTAAAATTACCTCACAAACAATCAATAACACAATATAAATGCATATAATATATGTTTTTATTCATTAAATTGACTTTAAATTATTCTAAATGAACAAAAAGTGCTATGTCCGATGACGGGTAAAGGTGTCCGAACACATGTAAAACTGTATTACATGTGTTCGAACACACGTTAAGACCCCCCAGTCACTATAACAAGAATAGCTTAAGTTCTATGCGTATGAATACAAAATGACACACACATTATTAAAGTAGAATGGTTGCGGATAGATATGATACTTTTTTTTGTTTTCTATGTTAAGCGGTTACTGAATGAGACCGCATGGAATTTTTACGTTGCGTTTTTTCGCTATGTGTGTCCGAAAAGTGTAAGCTCCTCTAGATATCTTTAAAATTTATTTAGTAATTTCCAACAGTCTTGTATACAAGTTCTGTGTTCAGCTAGCATTATCATAATATCATCTAGTGTTTTGACTCACTATGTTCTATTGATTTCAGTATGTCACTCGTTCAGACAAGGTTGATGATTCTTTACTTGGTGCTAATCCCAGTGCTGAAGAGCAAGAGGAAGGTGCAGATGAAAACTCCACATCTGGCATTGATGTTGTGCTAGATAACAGGCTTATGCCTACTGCTTTTGGGTCAAAGAAAGAATTCCAAGCATATTTTAAGGATTTTGTCAAACGGTGAGACATTTTCGCTCTTCACATCATGTCCTTCAATATGCTTGCCATCATTGGAGTTGAAATTAATGTCAGTTACTTCATTTTTCAGTATAGAAGAGAACAAGAAGGAGAATGATGCTAAATTTGATGTTGACGCATGGCGGAAAGAGATTCAAAACACATTCAAGATAGTTTGTGCAAATTTCGACTACGAGTTTTACACAGGTACTTTCAGTTAATTATACTAGCAGTGGTGTGACTTTTTAATTATTAATTTAAAATTTTCTAATTTTTCTATTTAAAGAAATAATACCTTTTGCTTGACTGTTAGCTCTAATTCTTGTAAAAAGTCCTATGTTTGTTGCATCGCTTCAATTGGTTTTCTGTATTACTGAGAAGTAAGGGGGGTGGACCTTAATATTTACTAAGTGGCTAGCTAATTGAAAAAAGTTTTTTTTTTTTTTTTTTTAAAGTTTTTATCATGTTAATCCCATCAGGACAACTCAAAGGCATGAACATTTAGATGACACAAAGTGTTTAGTAAATATGTGCATCTTCTTCTGGCAGGCAATCAACCTAAAGCTCCCTTTTCAACTATAATCTGTCCCTTTAGTCCTTTTTACCAATCAAATATAACCTTTGTTGAAAAAGGGCCAAATGACAACAATATAGACTGGTATAATGCATGAAAATATCTACTTGTGATTGCTTTATGCATTTAAAACTCACTTGTTTTATGCATTGCTTCTGTTGCTATAGAGTCTCTTTGGACCAGATAATAAATATTTAATACAATGCTGCTAGGTCTAAACATATTTCCTTCAATGGGCGAATACAGAGCTGCTTACTTGTATGGTTTTGTTTGTAATTTTACGATTTTGACAAGAGTTATGAAATTAAGAGATGTCTTTTAGAGTGCAAATTGGTGGTAACTTTTGATTCCTGAGTTTGATAATAGGGTAGTTAAAATCTTAGGTTCATTATAACACGGTTCAGTTTGTCATCTAAACTGCCCCCATCCTCACCTGTCCATTGATATGACAGGTGGGAGTGGTTAGTTGGCTGTTGAGAACTTAACCTTACTCAGCAAATGTGACCTTTGATTAATTTAAAATCAGAATCCTTTAATAAACATTAACATATCTATTTTTTTAAGGTAAATCAAGGTTTAAATTGTAAATCAATAAATGAGAGCATTTTTATTTATTGATTTACTGCGGCATAGGTTTAAAGAAGTGAAAGGGGGAGTCATGCATGATTATCTTTAAATAGTAACAATTTGCTAGGTTTTTTTGTTTTGTTTTAAGAATGCCAGAAACAAAATGTTTTTTTAATAATGCACTATTGGTCTGATTTACTTTTAAAAAAAAATATAATTAATGCTGTCAGTATCGGTTTTTTTGTGGAAAATCTACACTTGGTGAAAGTTGTTTTTTTTTTTTTTTTTTGAGTGAAAGGATATCATCCCTTCACCATTATTGGGGTAACTAGAACACCACAGCTGACCCTCTGCCGTCCATTTTGGTCCTCTGCCACTGATTGGTTGTGAGACTGGCACAGTGTCTTGCAAAATTGTTTGATCTTGTGACATGCCCATTACAACTCAATTTTCTTGTTTTGACTATGCTCAGTAGACTTTCACAGGGACTTGTGGTATTAGTGACACTTTCCTGGACTTTCTCATTGGTGTTGTTGCCTATCATGGTTATAAACCATTTGATGTATATGGTTATCATTAATAGCCTATGGATTTAGAATGAAATTTATTTTGATACATTGAGCTTGTTCCTGTCTAGTTATGTGAAAATCTTAATGATTTTTGTGCCTTAATTAAAGCTTAATTCTTTTACTTGTACCTTCAGGATCTTCTAGTAATCCTGATGGAAGCATTGCCTTAGTCAGATGGGAAGCCCCAGCTGGTGAAACAGATGAAATACCCTTTGTGTATTTCTTTGCTGATGGTGTTAAAGAAGAGAAAGTTGTACGTGAATACTTTATTTTAAATGTTAAAGATTTTCCATCCATCATACTAATAGCCCTAATGTTTTAAATGAAAATTGGGGCAGCAATTGGTGGTATATTATTTTAAGGTGGCTATCTTTTTAGCATTTTTTATTTGAAACTGCTTATTGGTTACCATAACACACTAAATTAATATTATGCTAAGTTTTAAGTTGCACATCAAATGTACCTTAACTGTTGTATGATTTTGTTTCAGTAACAGTAGTCAACCAAGAGCATGCTCATGATGGCCACAAACAGCTGATAAACAAATTTTTACAATGAAAACGAATTTTGGGATCTATTTTTGTGGTCACAGACTGACAGTATACAAAATATTTAGGCATGAACTACTATATATATTTGTACAGGATATTTATTGTGGTCAGTTTCTGTATAAATAAATGACTATACTAAAATTGCTGACTGTGGGTTCTTATTGAATAAATTTCAGGGCTTGCCTCTCACATCATGCCACCATCTCATGATCCTTTCTCTATTTCCCCATATTCTGCTATTTCCATATTTGGTGTACAATCTGTGGAGATAAGCATTATAAAATAAAATACTTAAAAAAAACTTTTTAAAAAACCACGTTTTTCTTGTGGACTAAAAAGTAGAAAATAACTATTTACATACATTTGATGACAAAAAACGTGGGTACGTTCACCATCAAATTTCCCGACCCATCTGCCCGACCCACGTTTTTTGTCATCAAATGTATGTAAATAGTTATTTTCTACTTTTTAGTCCACAAGAAAAACGTGGTTTTTTTAAAAGTTTTTTTTAAGTATTTTATTTTCTCCTTTTTAGTCAGTTGCTACACATGAAAAACGTGTTTTTTAAAAAAGTTTTTTATATAGTTTATTTTCTACTTTATCTAATGACTTGATTAAGTATGAATTGACTAAGTGTTTATAAATACACGGACTAAAAAAATCTTGAGCGACCAGGATTCGAACCTGGGTTGTCGCGGCCACAACGCGAAGTACTAACCACTATACGATCACGGCCAGCGCGCTCACATCGATTGGGGCCGAAGTAACTGTGTCAACAAGCCTCCAGTCTTGTCGGTATCTTTAGAAATCATGTCCTCAATTTTATGGTCCTTTGGGCGTAATTAAATTAAGCTAATTACGGTCTCTAATTGCTAGTTTTTATGATTGCATCTGAAATTGTTAGGCGAAAGTAACCTGCATGCCAAATTTCAGATCTATAGAGCAATCAGAAGTGGGCTAATTTTCGATGTCAATTTTAACAACAAACACACGCGAAGCTGAGTTAATAAAAACGTGTTAAAATGGACATCTGGTATGGGAAAAGTTAGGCACCACCTGTAAGGAGAGCTTAGAAAGAGCCAGTGGAGTAAAGGCTGCAGCCCTCTGACATAAGCATATTCCCCTTAAATCAACCTCAGAATTTTTTTCAATCCAAATTCCTAGATCATCAAATATTGTGCACATTATAGAGACCAAAATTGTGCTTATTTAATGCAATTTTGGATGTTACTTTCAATGTATTAGACCGAGGCATTATAAATTTGCAAAATAAGCTATGTAAATTTTTAAAACAATTTAATTTACATTTTCATCTAGATGAGTTTTTTATAAAAAATCTGAATATTGATTTGAAAATGTAAACCAATTAAAAAATGAAAGTTAAAGTGCTTAAGTTAATTTAGAACTGAGGTCTGGAATACAATTTAGGTCAAAACACATACAAAAATGATAATGATGCAGTACGCATTTTAGTTCCCAACTACACAAAGTGAGGTTAGGTATTTAAAGCATGAGTGACTAAACAAAAAGGATCTTTATTATCAGCTATAATTACCTACTGATTGACAAAGTTTGTTAAGACGCCTGGTAGATTTATATATTTCTGTACTTTGCTAGAAACTTGACGAACCATTTCTTGTGTAATATTAACTAGTATTATTAATAATAAACTTACATGCCAAACAGTATTCCTCCCAAATGTCCAGCATGGTCTAAGAATCTCCAGCCTAGTAGCAGGCCTGCAATGTCAAATACTAAAATAGCTTTCATACCCTGAAAGAAAAGAATTTATACAGGTGTCACATAATGGTGTTGACTACAGAAGACCAATAGTAGGAACAGTCATTCTTTATACATAAAGAGGACTTTGATTAAAGAGGAATATACAGATTCTACTTTTAACGTAGAAAAAAACATAACGTATTAGAAGTTCTACAGTACATTTTTACATATGTATTATGAGATTAACTTAAGTAGAGTTGTACTTTTTAGCATTATTTCATATCTAGCCTAAATTTATACTGGTATAATGCTTAATTTCAGGTAATAACAAAAACTTCAGCTGTTACGACAGTACAATATTGGTTTGATTTAACAGTCGCTGCTAAACAACCTAATTAAATTAATTAGGATTCTTTGATTCTAAGCTCATGTGTTCCTGACTCGCTTTATTCTAGTAGTAGGCCATATGAACAGCAAACACGTGCTTAAGTGGTCACTTGATGTAGTTCTAGTACTTTATAGTAAGAGCACAGATTGTATTTTCCATCACACTCCAAATTTTGTCTTCTGCTTTGTTTATCAATCCAAAAAGATAATTAATTTTAGTGTATTCTGTCCTTGTTTATAATAAGTGAAAATTTCTAAAATATTGTATTAATTTCTAAAGTTCATGATGATATCTGCATCTAACCTATTTCAGATTATCAAAATGAAGACTAAGTATTAAAAAAACATTTTAACATTGTGATTGAAATGGAAACAAATGCCAAAGGAAAATAGTCACATTTCCTCCCTCTTCTTTCAGTTTCAAGCTTAAATTTTAAACAAAAAAAATTAAACCTAAATAAACCAACAAATATTATTGATATAAATTATAATTATTGTATATTATTCTGTGATATGTGTTAAATAAATAGTGAACAGACATTTTTAATGGACTCAACTGAGAATGGTCTCAAAATTTTTCACAAGACCCATTAAATATTTTTAAAATCACGATGATTTTAAAATAAATATGGTGATAAAAATCTGACTGCTTGATTTTTTTTTGTTCGAGTTTACTTAAGATTGGAAGTAACTGATGTATTTAAAATTTTCGGTGACTAATCAAATTTTAAAAAAAAGCCAAAAACAACAAACATGACTGAACTAGGTGATGTCATTTTAAAAAGTTTATTTAAAAATTCTATCGGCAAGGTTTTGAGTGCAAATTACCAAAAGTTTTTTATGACGTGGCAATTTGAGAGTATCGATCCCGGAAATCCTGTACAGCCAATCAAGATTTGTCTTACAGAAGTAAAACTTCAGGTTATAGCTTCAGGTTAATGAAAATAGAAATGTTGCCTTAAGCTCAAAAAATTATTTTCAAGTTCTCAGGATGTGCAACTTTTTTTAACATTGATTCTATAATAAAATTTTCAGGCTTAAGTTATTTTTTTTAAATAGCTGTTTTTTTACTGCAGCTTTGATGAATAAATTTTAAAAAGGATGATTTTTATCCATGTCAACAAGATGGTAGAAGGATTCTCATCGACTCGGTAGTCTCCATTGTGGACTATCATATTCAATTATTTTTTTAATATAGCAGAGCAAATTTAGAACGACATTGGAATGGCAGAATGAGACACTGTAGTGATTTAGTAGAACAATTGCGCCAATGGTTGTAGGGTATAAAGTGTAGACTGAATAAAGTTATAAACTTGGACTTACAGTATCTGCAGAAAATGAATGAGGGAAAATGTCACTGATGAAGGCTATACCCAGCCTGGCATCTGGAAATTTGATACACACTGCTCCTATTAAAGCCATTATAGCACCTGACTAAAGTAAAAAAACAAAATATGCATCAGAAATTAGAATTTTATAAATGTCTCTATTTGATCCACTTCAAATGAAATTCAACTTACTGCACCAAGTGACACAACCATTGGACGTCGCAACAACTTGTTACAAGCCATACTTGCAAATGATGAAACGGTACCTTTGTGGAATAAAACATTGGTTAAAAATTACAAGTAACCTTTCTGACAGGTTTCTGATTTTATATTTTTTCAAACTTTTGAAAATGTACCCAGGGTTAGGTGAACATAAGACACCACGGACAAAAACCTTGTACCCTGGCTTTCTGTGTTCAGTCTGATAATGTACCGATGTGAGGTAGCCCTAAACAGATCCCTAAGCTCAGGTTATGACATTTTTTAATAGGGCTGCGCCTAAATGTTTTGCTTTTGAAATAGAAATCATCAGCATGAATTAGTTGTTTTTTTTTTTTTTTTTTTTTTTGCCCTTTTTGCGTTCTCTTATTCGAAATAAAGAGGAAGTATTGTAATCATGCAAAACAAAACAAAATCCCTGAGTCGAAAAAACAGTTTTGGAATCTTATCCGTATTTCTGTGTATGTGTGTGTGTGTGTCTGTGAACACAATAACTTGAGTACCTTTACAGCTAGGTTGATGAAATTTCATATATAAGTATTTTATTATATAAATTATATTAAATTTGTAGTTCTGTATCAACTTTTCAGTGATCTCCAATAACCGGGAGTGGAACATAATCTACTTTCAATTTTACAAAAGCCTATAACTTGAGTACTGTTTGAGATAGATTAATGAAATTTCACAAGTAAGTAAAAGATCTAATTCTCTGCCTTCTGTCAAATTTTGAGTAATTTCCGTTGACTAGAAGTAGTAATTTACGCTATTTCCAATTTCTCAAAAAACTCATGTGAATTTATAAAGTATTAATAATATTCCGCACTATTATCAATATACACATATTGTTTGGTGTTTACTTGGTGCGCAATTCTTTTTTCTATGAGATTCTATTCTATTTTTAAAAGTTTGTTTAATAATACCAGTGTCTTCGGGTCGTTAGACCAGGCTAATTGTGTAAGCTTTCTCTGACCAAGTGAATATTCTAGAGCAGTGTCTGTTTCAAGCATCTTGGGGGGGGGGGCACAGATTCTTATGGAAAATCAATGCTTTTGTTACTAAAAAATTTTTTTCTTCCCAAAATAGTAAAGCTGTAACAAACGTTGGTATCTGATTAGTACTGGAGCTGCAAAAATAGACAAACTGGTAATTTAACTTTCCTAGTTGTCACTTACCAGCACTAATATAAAATGCAGCAAACTGCTCAGGCCCCATCAGATTGACTGTGACTGATGCAAATGACCAGAGCACATACATGTTGACACAAAGGTGTAAAAAACTAACATGGCTGAAGCTGCTCAAGGTCATGGATGGAACTGGATGAGCTGTAGAATTAAAATAGAGTTGAGCAGACGCAGGAAATGTCTTATTGACTTCCATGCAGTGATCAAACTTGGTTCTGTTGTGTTAAGTTATAAAGATTTAGAACCATGTATGTTAAGTACCTATGTTTGGTGGTATAAAGCTGTAAAGATCAAATGGTTTAAAAACATGGCATATAACTTGCATCTTCACCTTTGTTGACATGCATATTTTATTCATATGTGCCTAGCCTGTATTAACTGTTCTACCTGCAAACTAATTCATGCAATGTAAACTTTTTATTTCCACTTACTGATAGCTGTTGTAAAGTATCTCATCATGGAGTTTTGTAGTCTAGGTATTCTCCACAAGACAAACACACCTATATTTGCTGCTATAATTCCCATTACCATCTTCTGACCGTTTGATAATTGAGACCACATAGAATTTGCCTGAAAAAAAGGCTGTGTTTATTTATGTAGGCCTAAAAACAATAAGCACAACATTTTTGATGCAAGTCTTAAGGGCCTTTTAAATTATTTAACAGATTCACAAATAAGACAGAAAAAAGAAGCTACCTTTAATGGTAGGTCTAGAGGTATGTGACCATTTGGCCCATGGTGCCACACTAAGGTTGCCTGATACAGTACAGGAAAGTAGGTAAGCTAACTCCTTACAATAGCCCAAACACTTACATTTTCTCTAAAGCTCAATGTTTTCTGATGAGTTTTTATAGCTTCCTTTTTATTCCCTTGATGAAGATCTTTGAAGATTTTTCTCATCTTTTCATAGCTCATCACCATTGCCACAACAAAACTACACCCACACACCTGAGTAACAAGCCAAAACATTGAATATATTACATCAAGTTACACTTCACTTCAGTCAACAATTGAACCCATAGGATATAAACCAACTTGACAAAGCATTCCCAGAAGAATGCACCTGATACCTAACCAGCATAATATTAATGACTAGCTTTCCCGTCCTCGCGTGCTGCCGCGGGGTTAAAAGAAAGTCCCAGGATAGTCCGGGGCAAATCGCATCTTGCTGGGGCACGGTTGTACGCGCCTGATTCAGTTTAGTGAACGATTATAATGCTACTTCTTATCCATATTCTACCATACTCTTTAAAACGGACGTATCCACCATAGCGCTGCCAGGATAGCCCGGGGCGTTAAATTGCACCCTGCTGGGGCTCTGCCCCTTTGAGATTGAATTTTCTTTCCTGTAGAAACCTCCCCAGGAGTATTCTCAACAACTTACCAAAGTTTCATGGTGATCAGATGAAAGATGTAGCAATGCATAAAAGACAAATAAAATCTGATGAAATATATTAGATGGGTTTCATCAATGCTCTACCTATCCTATATTCTTAGACACGTGACCTTGTTTTCTAAAACTGAGTTATTTAGATGTTAACAATGCCTGCGCTTGAATCATATGCCGGCGGACGCCCCTGTTTATGTTTAGTGAACAAATTCTAAAACCCAATCTTATGCATCGTCTTTTGTAATGTTAAAAACAGACGTAGGTGCCATATCGCTCATTTAAAACTAACATAGGCACCATAGCACTCACTGGAATGACCAGGGCGCCAAATCGCCCAAAGTACGTACTCTTTAAAATCTAAAAGTACATGAAGAAATAATGGTAGATTTTTGTGTAATATGGCTGGCTGTAAAACCTTCAGCTCGTATGCTTTGGAATGGATCTACTGATTTAGTACAATATGTGCTTGTAGTCACAAGTTTGGTACCTACGCTAGAGACTACAGGATGTTGCCAGACCAAACTCCCTCCAACCCCCCATCCAAACCAGGGGGTGGGGTGCACCAAGGACAGAAGCGCAAGCTTGCTGGAAACAAAACAGTCGCAGCAGCTGTCAACATGGGTGCAAGAGATTCTATATCCATTTGCAGTTAGCCTTGCTTAAGAGCATTGCTGAAGCCAGATGTGCCTGTTTAACAGAAAGAGCTCTAAAGATAGAGGGTAACTCAAGGGAAATAATTGTATAGTAGTAGAGAGCTCTAAAGATATACAATAACTCAAGGTAGGACTTGAAACTTAAATCACACTGGCAGATTTGTTCTATACTTACTCCAACTGTGTACACTAATGGTTTCAGCAAAGATGGGGATCCTGTATTTTGCGGTCTAACATCTTCTAATTTGCGTCTTGTTTGAAAGTTTCTGACTGTTCTCTGAAATCTGTACAATTCTGAAGGCCTTGTCTTTGTCCAGAAAGAAAACAAATTTGACGATTCTGCACATATTTTTGTACTGAGAACATGTTTGACATTGCTGATGAAGAGAAATGTACTAGACTTATAATATAATCTGTACTGTCATGCTAATATTAATACTTTCATTTATGTCTGCTTATCACGCCTATAGTAACTTGACATATTTTTCTTTTAGTCTAGTTACTACTACTAGTAGGCCCAATCAACAAATACTTTTGTTGATTTTTATTTTATGATAGGCATAACAAGACTTGTAGTTTTAGAAATATAAACTATTTAAACCATTTCAATCATCTAAGCTTTGATTTTAGGACAAAAAACTAATGTTAAAATTCTGCTACATGCTTGAAAAAAAAAATATGGTCACTTTGTTTTACTTTTATTAAAATTTAGTTAAAAAATGTTTGTTAACTCAATGTTCAATTTAAATATGACCATTGAATAATAGACATCCATATTTAGTCCAGTAAGCACTAATTTTAAGTTTTTTAGTTCATTTGAAAATAAATTACTGAATTTAATCATTATTGTCACTCACTGCCATGGCACGACACACCTTTCCATTACAACCATGTTATATCACTCTTAAGTTTGTAGCCACGGCAGACAACAAATCGGTCTGACTTTTTAATTGGCTATGCACCAGAGTTCTTTACTAGTGATCCACCAAATAGTGGTCACATGGTTTTTAAATAATAAAATAAAAAATAAATTGGTTGTGATTTAAGCGCCGGTCTTATTAAAAAACAGTTCACAATATTTAATGTCTTATTTCATAGACATAAAACTAGTAATATTCACCTATTCGCTATTTTTGTACCTACTGAGTTGATATTTTACAAACTTCTGTTGATTTTAATGAGGCCAACTTTTAAATTATCCTAACCAAACTTTGAATTGCTTTTCTGCCACCTTTAGTATAATTAAAATAGTAGGCCTAATTCTAAGGTCACAGGAAGGTGGAACTTAGACGAAAAATCATCGGAAGTCATGCATCCGGTGTGGACACCATATTGTTGTTAGCTACTGGCCAAGCCTCCAGGTTAGTGAGTAATACTAAGGGCCTACTTTTACACTTATTAGTTAGTACTTGCCCTAGGCCTACTCAATCGAATTTTTTAAATTTTGAATTTCACAAGAAACATTTTGAAGTGTTTAAGTTTAACTGAGCTATTGATACGAATACCTAGACTAGAATTATAATTTTTATGTTGTGTTTTTATTACCAAAATCCCTAAATCTACGACTTAGACTTTTGTGCTGCAAACTGTGCTGTGTCATCATTTCTGTCATGAATGATCATTCATCATTCACAAATTCAAAGTTTTGCAAAAATAAAATGACACTGTACTTGAACGAGAAGGAGTATACTAAGCTTTTTATAAGTTATGATAAATTATGAATAGTCTATAGTAGAGTTATAAAATATTTAAATAAAACCATATGTTTATGTCAAAACCCACACTAATTTTTGAGGTTTTAGTAGTTGTCGACAATAACTGTAGGGCAGCGCCATGATTGTTTTCTTAAAAGTTTAAAAAGAAAACTAAATATAAAGAAAACAAAACGATATGCTAAAAAGTTAAATTAATAATAATTTTATCAGACTTACGTTACATTCGCCTGGGCAGTAAATATATCTTGATATAAATCTACTATAAGTATTAAATTTTTTAAAATGATATTTTAATAGAATCTAGATATCTAGATCTAGACATAGATCTAGTAATGACTTTAAATAGACTTTTATGCACTAAAATCTAAAACTAAAATGATGTTCTTTAAATAAAACAATGTAGTACCACTATTTGTATTTAGAGTATATAAATGTAAAGAAAAGCAAGGCAAGGGGTTGATATTTATTTTGTATTTAGAAAGTTTGGAATTCGGTAGGCATATTTCTAAATAAACACAGACATATAAACCAGAGTTTCTTCCAGGCATCTCTTTGACCCCCCGAACGAGATGGATGACCGCCCCCCCCCCCCCCCCCCCCCCCGAAAATTTCAAGTGCCCCCAACCGGAGAAAAAAGTCTGGAAGAAACACTGATATAAACGACTATAGTATAGGCATACATAGATTTGGGGGTCGTCCATAAATGACGTCACTTTTTAAAAACGATGTTTGCCACCTCTCCTCATTGTCAGTTCCGTTGTTTAAAATTATGTCATAACGCCCTAAAATGGCAAATTTAGTTATTAAAAGGCAATCTCTTTGTGTAATGTACCAATTGAGCTCGTAAGTATTGAATAGGCTTAGATCTATACGGATAATTACTTTTATACCGTCACTCTCGCAGAGGTCGTACGTTCTTTATAAAACTGAAACGCGTCTTATACTTATATTTGGCACACGGGCACCCGATGGTTCAAACGAACAGGTATCTTTCACCTAATAAACCCTTTCCTCCCCCATACATCAAGCCACCAACCCACCCCTATACGGCGTCCAAGCGCAGACGCGTAGCGAGGGGGGGGGGGGGGGGTGCGGACCGCACCGGGTGACACCCGACCTCGCTGGCCTACCAGCTATATAAGTGTGGCCAGATGGCCTATCAGCTAGATAAGTGTGGCCAGATGGCCTACCTGTTAGATAAGTGTGGCCAGATGGCCTACCAGCTACATAAGTGTGGCCAGATGGCCTACCTGTTAGATAAGTGTGGCCAGGTGGCCTACCTGTTAGATAAGTGTGGCCAGATGGCCTACCTGTTAGATAAGTGTGGCCAGGTGGCCTACCTGTTAGATAAGTGTGGCCAGGTGGCCTACCTGTTAGATAAGTGTGGCCAGATGGCCTTCCTGCTGAATAAGTGTGGCCAGATGGCCTACCAGCTACATAAGTGTGGCCAGATGGCCTACCTGTTAGATAAGTGCGGCCAGGTGGTCTTCCTGCTGAATAAGTGTGGCCAGATGGCCTACCAGCTACATAAGTGTGGCCAGATGGCCTACCTGTTAGATAAGTGTGGCCAGGTGGCCTACCTGTTAGATAAGTGTGGCCAGGTGGCCTACCTGTTAGATAAGTGTGGCCAGATGGCCTACCTGTTAGATAATTGTGGCCAGGTGGTGTGGGTGGGGCATCTAACTAGTGACTTTTAAAAAAAAAGTCGCGATTTGCTGTTATTGTGCCATTGTAGTTTTCCACCTGTTTCCAGACTGACACGTCATTAAAAACAAACTGTAGCATTCTATCGTCTGTCACAAACTGTAGCATTCTATCGTCTGTCACAAACTGTAGCATTCTATCGTCTGTCACAAACTGTAGCATTCTATCGTCTGTCACAAACTGTAGCATTCTATCGTCTGTCACACGTTTTGGCACTAACCGTCTCGCACAACCTTAAAACACATCTTAAGGCACCCAGTATGTACGCCCATCTTCATTGTATATATTCTGGGGCATCTTTAAAGTAAATATGTTTATATTCATAAAATGCCTTTGGAGAGCATCCATACATTGATTATACCCATCACTATTGTGTCTATTGATGTGGGCAATTTAGTGTTTATGTACATGTTCATTACACTACTAGGCATGCTGCCCAGCTTTGCTTAGGCTTTCGAAAACATTGAGAATTTGAATGCTTAATTAATTCGCCCGAGGGTCGGTCTACGACCTCAGGAGTTATGAAGAGGTTCCTCCGTGGACATTTTTTTTCGATTTATAGCTCATATAAGGCGCCGGTCTGTCGAGGTCAGTTTTGACCCCATCATCGTAGACTTTTCGGCCAACCGGCCCCAGTGTTCTGTCGCCCCAAGGCAAGATCCTGCCAAATTTGAAGCGCCTGCGGCGCCGGGAAGTGCCCTATCGGGCACCCGACAACTTTGCTTTATATATTATAGAGATTAGCAAATTGCATAGATAAACAAAGATTTCAATAAAGTAATTAAGGCCTGAAATACTTTAGTATAGAAATGTATTATTTGAATAGATGAATCTAGAATATCTAGATCTAGAATCCAAATAAATAAAATAAATTTTATGAGTTTAGGCCGGAAAAATTGTATTGTATACATTTCATAGTGTACGTAGATCTAAATCAAATTTGAATGAAATAGTACATTTCTTTTTATTCAAAACACGGCAGATGACGTCATTAGTTAATGTATAAGCATTAGTGACGTCACAGTTTTATGCGTTCTTTTTCACATCTATAAATGCTTTTCCGGTTGCATAAATAATACTGTTTTTCTCCATTCGAATACGCCTTTATTTTTTATTTTTCTTCTTTAAATAAAATTGTGGTTATACATTTAAAACATCTAACATATTATTTTCAACCAAAGTCCGTATAAAGTTCTCCATATATCGCTGCCGATTCTGACGTGATGTCCGGCGAAAATATTTTGCGGACAGACAGAGAGAGAGAGAGAGAGATGTGCGAACGTGGGGTTTTATATATTAGGATATTATATCGTCATCTATAGCAGGGGTCTCCAAACTTTTCAGTCCGAGGGCCGCATTAACTATAAAATTTCAGTTCGGGGGCCAGTTTCTTCCAGGCATGTCTTTGATTTTTCTGGGCAAAGTTCCTCAGCTATCACCAACCAACGTTTTTTCCATGGACAAAAAGATCTTCGCGGGCCGGATGAGAGGACCTCGCGGGCCGCATCCGGCCCGCGGGCCGTAGTTTGGAGACCCCTGATCTATAGGATCCCAAAATTGACAGAAGAACAGTGCAGTGCTAATGAAAAGTTTAATTGTCATTTAAGTATAAATGGATGATCCAGACAAGGGATTGTTAACGTTAAAGAAAACAATGCCAAAGTCAGCAGTGCCCCCCCCCCCTCCCCCCATAAGAACACAGAATGAAACTCATGGAAAGGTTTCAGCAATTAATTTAGTTTTCCGAAAAACGGCGCCCTGTATTAGAGTACGATTTGGCGCCCCGAGATTCCCATCATCTTCTTGAGCACATGGGGTCCGTCAATTGAGCGTCCTGCACAGGGGGTCAACTTGATTCAACTGTTAAACTGTCACAGGGGTCAGAAGTACAACTTGATTCAACTTAATTCAACTGTCAAACTGTCACAGGGGTCAGGAGTACAACTTGATTCAACTGTCAAACTGCCACAGGGGGTCAGGAGTACAACTTGATTCAACTGTCAAACTGCCACAGGGGGTCAGGAGTACAACTTGATTCAACTGTCAAACTGCCACAGGGGTCAGGAGTACAACTTGATTCAACCGTCAAACTGCCACAGGGGGTCAGGAGTACAACTTGACTCAACTGTCAAACTGTCACAGGGGTCAGAAGTACAACTTGACTCAACTGTCAAACTGCCACAGGGGGTCAGGAGTACAACGTGATTCAACTGTCAAACTGCCACAGGGGCGGCCTCTGGCGTCCCGGCGGTCGCCCCCGGCTCCCCTGTGATAATATGTTAATAATACAGTATAAATGTACAAGCAAGACATATAAAATGAAAAATGTACACATTATTACTGAGTACCCCTCCATCAGAAGTACAAGTCGGTTTCTTCGTTGCCCACATTTTAATTCCGTTATAGCCTAACGGATATTTTTTGCATCGGGGTGGGGAGGGGGGAAGTGGTATCATGAGGTACCACATCGGGGTGGGGAGGGGGGAAGTGGTACCATGAGGTACCACATCGGGGTGGGGAGGGGGGAAGTGGTACCATCAGGTACCACATCGGGGTGGGGAGGGGGGAAGTGGTACCATCAGGTACCACATCGGGGTGGGGAGGGGGGAAGTGGTACCATGAGGTACCACATCGGGGTGGGGAGGGGGGAAGTGGTACCATGAGGTACCACATCGGGGTGGGGAGGGGGGAAGTGGTACCATGAGGTACCACATCGGGGTGGGGAGGGGGGAAGTGGTACCATCAGGTACCACATCGGGGTGGGGAGGGGGGAAGTGGTACCATCAGGTACCACATCGGGGTGGGGAAAGGGGAAGTGGTATCATGAGGTACCACATCGGGGTGGGGAGGGGGGAAGTGGTACCATGAGGTACCACATCGGGGTGGGGAGGGGGGAAGTGGTACCATCAGGTACCACATCGGGGTGGGGAGGGGGGAAGTGGTACCATTAGGTACCACATCGGGGTGGGGAGGGGGGAAGTGGTACCATCAGGTACCACATCGGGGTGGGGAGGGGGGAAGTGGTACCATGAGGTACCACATCGGGGTGGGGAGGGGGGAAGTGGTACCATGAGGTACCACATCGGGGTGGGGAGGGGGGAAGTGGTACCATGAGGTACCACATCGGGGTGGGGAGGGGGGAAGTGGTATCATGAGGTACCACATCGGGGTGGGGAGGGGGGAAGTGGTATCATGAGGTACCACATCGGGGTGGGGAGGGGGGAAGTGGTATCATGAGGTACCACACCGGGTACCACACGATCTAACGATGTAACTGTGTTACCCCAGATTGTCAACCTGCCCCACAACAGTTTTTGACGGATTTTTTCTCCTGATTTTTTTTTTAATTGAAAAGGATTTAAGAAAAAAAAATTGTTGCGGGTGCAGGCAATAGGTAGCGCTATTTACAGGGCTAAATATAAACACATGTTGAGAACTTCAAATCAACTTTTTTAAAAAATCGACTAAAACTTGATCTACACAATGTGTCTACTTGTGAAATTTTAATTCAACGGTCAAGTTAAGGCTGTAGTGCACCTGTGTCAACCTGCCTCTGTAACTTTCCGCCCCACCTCCCCCTTCTGCTCTATCAAATTGTTATATTTTTTAGTCCAAGAAATGCGTCATCACCGGAATACATAAAACCCCGTTTAAAAAAACCAAACAAAACAGAATCGAACCTAGTCCTTTCAACTCACAAAGATAATTCTACTAAATGTTTCGAGGCGAGACAAAAATAAACAATCCACCAAACGATTGTCGGGCGGACCATAATTATATTTCTACAATACCCACAGTCGGACCAATCAACTCATCTGTGGGGAAAAAACTGACCGAGTGAAACCGCCCGCCACTAGGCGAGAGAGCTGCAACTAGTGTGCTCCCGTCTGCCCTACACAGCGCGGCACCTCGCGTCTCTCGCGCGGACTGTACCCTGTTCAGGACTAATTATTCATGTGAGGTCGTTAGCAAAAAAAATAAGTCATTGGATTTACATTCAGATTGAATTCAATTAGAATCGAGCTTTTTGGTGAGTAACTATGTGTGGATGTGTTTGTGTGTCGGGGTTAATCCGGGCCACTGTGAGCTCAAGCGGGTGGCGTTACACGACAACTAGGCTGGCCAGGCGATACTGGGCACAGCTCTCAATCAATGGTCACAACTTGTTTCGGCAGTCGGTCTCATCACTCGTGTTGAGCCGTCACTCGATAGCACGCCCGTGTAGTTGATGTGCACGAGTAATCTAACCCAACACCATCAAGACATTCCACCACATAACCCACGCTCATCAGCAATTATTCTTTTTCCCATGATAACTAACTAAAACTGTTTTAGATAAAAATGTTACATAAATCTCCGTAAATAAATACGTTCTATTCGATGTATAGAGTTTTTTTCGTCTCGTTCTTTTAAAATATTTAAACCAGAAGACATCCATTTGGCAAGTACAAGCAACGACTCCTTTAAAACTCCTTCTTGCATCTTGTTGTTTATTCAAAGGTGGTCGCCATTTTAGTTCGTATCTCTCTCTGATGAGCACAGCTACACGGCACGTTGCTTGAGCTCGTCTTAGGCTGGCATCTCGGCACGGCTCACGCATGGGGGGGGGGGGCTTCCGTCAGATACGGCAGATTTTTACAGGCCTTGAAAAACATGTTACGTTCATAGGTTGAGTACAAGAGACGGGGGCAGGGAGGGGATGGTTGAGTGGGAATCGAAGGGCACGGGAGTTCAGCCTTTACAAGGTCAAATGATCTGTTGAACTTTAGAGAACACTGTTGTGTAGCACGATCCGTTACTCACCATAATTAAAACCATTTTTGATTGTGGGCCTAATTATAATTAGATCTGACAGAGATTTTAGCTATGAACTCGGACAGATAATATAAAATCAGGTCAACATCAGCTCACAATTTAATTTTTTTTTTCGCTTTTGTTTCGTTTTTGTCAGACTTCCGGCGGAAGTGGCATCAATTATCGTCCTATTACAAGTCTTGGGAATGCAACACCAATGCCTAATCACGCCCAAAGCTTGAAATCATTTTTGGTGTAGGAATACAGTGTGCGGCTTTAATAAATTTTAAAATCATTTTTGGTGGTAGGAATACAGTGTGCGGCTTTAACAAAGCTTCAACTAATTTTTGGTTGTAGGAATACAGTGTGCGGCTTTAACAAACTTCAACTAATTTTTGGTAGTAGGATTACGATGTGCGGCTCTGCCATCATACACAGATTCATCAAGTAAAAGTATGACTCACACTAAACCTAATCCATAACCTTAAGCCGTAAGCGCAGTACGGCTCATATAATATTTTTACTCTATTTAAAAGCGTGTCATTAAACAAGGATTGAAAGGATGTTTTTAAAACACCATGAGTTTTTTGGGACAATAATGCAACATCACCATCACCAGTGCTAATACTTAGCTACAACAACCAATGCAACATCACCATCACCAATCAACAAACATCACTATACAACAAACATCCTCACATCACAAACATCACTATACAACAAACATCACTATACAACAAACATCATCACATCACAAACATCACTATACAACAAACATCACTATACAACAAACATCCTCACATCACAAACATCACTATACAACAAACATCATCACATCACAAACATCACATCACAAACATCACTGTATAACAAACATCCTCACATCACAAACATCACTATACAACAAACATCCTCATATTACAAACATCACTATACAACAAACATCATCACATTGCAAACATCACTATACAACAAACATCCTCACATTCACAAACATCACTATACAACAAATATCCTCACATCACAAACATCACTATACAACAAACATCATCACATCACAAACATCACTATACAACAAACATCATCACATTGCAAACATCACTATACAACAAACATCATAACATTGCAAACATCACTATACAACAAACATCCTAACATCACAAAGATCACTATACAACAAACATTCTCACAACACAAACATCCTTGCAAACATCATTACACAAGAAACATATTTACATCATGATGGCGAGAATAAATGACGTCATACCCCACCCGCCCATCGCCACATGGTGTGACAAGTGTTTCTTTCAGACTTTTTCTTCTATGGGGGGGGGGCACTTGAAACATTTTCGGTGGGGGGGGGGGGTGGACACTGGTTATAGTATATTTTTCATATATATATATATACTAGCAGTCCCGGCCAGGCCCTGCTCTGGCTTCTGTGAAAAACCTTTCTGTTAAAGACCATTACCTGTGTGTTTAGTAATCATCATAAACCCGGCATTGCCAACCCAAACCACAACCAACCAAAACCAAACCAACAAAACGCAAACATAACGCTAACACAATTACAAATACAAACGAAAACAAAAACCTAACAACAAACCCAACCACAAACACCAATACAAACACAAAGAAAAAACAAACAAAAAAGCAAACGAAAACAAAAACCTAACAACAAACCCAACCACAAACACCAATACCAACAAAAAAAAAAAACAACGAAAAAGCAAACGAAAACAAACCAAATCCAAACGCAAAACCAACCAAAAACACAAATACAAACCCAAACAAAAAAACACAAACAAAAACGAAAAAAGAAAGAACAAAAACGAACCAAATCAAAACGCAACCACTAACGCAAACCCACCTAAACACAAAGAAAACACTAACGCGAACATAAACGCCCGGGGCGGAATCACCTGTTTTAGCTTAATGAACGACTATAGTACCCTAACTTATTCATAGTCTTTTGCACTCACTTAAACGAACGCGCCTGTTTCAATTTAATGAACAATTTTAATACTCCAAGCTTATCCGTAAAATACCTACAACATTTGCACTTGATCAATCCCCGCTAATTATGTAATTATTTTTTTTCCCAACACCAAAACAAAGTAATAAAAAGTAAATTATTTTCCACAAATGCAATGGTTTTATAAAGGGAAGCAATTGTGTTTTCCTAATTTTTCAAAGGGAAGTAAATGCTATAGGACTAAATAAAGACATAATTAGAATTTTTGTAAAAGATGATATTTTTTTAAAATTTGTGTTTAATGAACATGCCGACAATTATTACTATAATTTGAAAAATGAAAATTATTTCCCAACACTTTCAATAGTAATTTTATAACTCATAAATTTAGACAAATGCGCACGATAATTGTCTAACACTTAAATCCATCCAAGACCAACGACAAACATATGCGTTACATACAGAACTGAGCTTTATATATTAGATATATATATATATATATATATATATATATATATATATATATATATATATATATATATATATATATTACATATATAATTGATACTTCACTGTTCTAAACATTAATGAAATACTTAACGAGAATACAAATAACGACATCAGCACTAAATACACCACAGCTTACATCATTACATGTACTTTTATTTACATACTCCACTACTTACATATTGCATACATTTCTACATAAATCAAATACATTATTTGATATATCAGCATATAATAAAGATTCCTCAAATCTAGTGTGTCTGTCTACACCGTTTGATCTAGCATATGATCGACATACCACTTAAAGCTACATTTTTCTAACTAGCATATGATCAACATACCACTTAAAGCTACATTTTTCTAACTAGCATATGATCGACATACCACTTAAAGCTACATTTTTCTTATAAAGTTACACTTTCAAACTAAGATATGAATAAACTCCTGTCTAAGGCCATATACCTTTCCGACAAGGATATGATCAAAATACCATCTAATTTATTAAAAATGCTTTACTCTGCATTATTTTATATATAAGTGCTGATCTGTTAGTTTTGATTTTATTTTCTACAAGAAAACTTTTTTTTAGACGGGGATTCTTGTCATTTGTTTGGGGGGGGGGGGGGGGGGGGGGGTGGTACGGTCCCACCAGTAGCGTACGCAGGGGGGGAGCAGGGGGAGCGGCCGCTCCCCCTCTGGCCATTTTCAGCAAAGTGGCGCCTTTTTGGAAACTTTTAAACTCAAAGTTTTAAACAATGATATTTGTTAAAAAAATATTTTTGGTCGGCACATCTATGTAAATCACAAGATTTCTTTTCATGCAGCAATTAAGCATTATTGTACTAGTCTAGTAGTGTCTACGATTACAACACGTATTAACAGCTGCATCAGTTTGCCATTCTAAAAATAACCATTACGATGCATTGCAATGTTTAAAAAAAACTCTGCGGGTAGTACCATTTCGCAAGAGGGGTGTTAAGTTTAAGGCAACTGTATAATGTATTTGCTTACGAATAATTGAACTAAAAATGTTATACATAAAACTTCACACATAATTACTTTATATATACAGTTTGAATCGTGTGATTAATTTTAAAAAAATTACAATACAGAAACAAATACAACTGATGTGGCACCTCTATTTTAATTTACTTATGAGCAAACTACGTAGTGGTGGGGAAATTTTGACAAGGTCAACAACGTCATCACGATGAAGTAGTAGCATTCTTACAGTTTGGGCGATAGTGATTACGATTACAAATTATATGAAACAGTTACAACCCCCCTCCCCCATGGACCCCTCTTTAAAAAAAATATTGTCATAATACCACTGCTACTTATTTAAATCTATTTCTGTAATATATATGTGTGTAATATATATTTGTGTAATATATATGTATGTTTAGAACAGTCATCTAAAAACTGACGCTATGTTCACTCTGAGTTGGTTATCTCCCCCCCCCCCCACACACACACTCACACCACACCACCACAATTGTGTAGAGCGACATTAATGTCACACCTAGGTATACACTGGGTTGGATAATTGACCTAAAGTGTGACCGGACAGTGGTGAATGAAGTTGAACCAACCCCCCCCCCCTCTCCCCCAACCCACCCCGAACTGATCTACATGTAGAAAAACGCGTAATGATGTACCAAAGTACCATGCCGCCAGAAAATTAGCTTTTTAAAATGTAAAGATCTGTGAATATTGTTTTTGCAATTACCAGTAAAAAGGTGTGTGATCAATACAGTGATCTAACCCATACCTATCACTATGTTAAAAAGTGATCTTTAAGGAACACAAAAAAGCAGTAGTTAATTAAAAACATATGATCTGAACTAAAAGCACGATATTAAGTTAAATGTAGGCTGTTATTCCGAAAATTAGGGGTCGGCGTGGTCGAGTCGGTAAAGCTCATGGTTGCTAAACCGAAAAGTCTCGAGTTCGAACCCTCGGGCAGATGAGGCTCGTTAGCTGGTTTGAACTCGAATGTTTTCGAATTTATAAACCATGAGCTTTGCCGACTCGACCATAAATTCGAAAACATTCGAGTTCAAACCCTCTGGAAGATAAGGCTCGATCCCTTCCAACACTAAAAATTAAGAAGGAAGGAGAAGAAGATTCCGAATATTTTTCTGATATATCGAAAAGCGTGGTTTTATACCAACACTGATTTAAAAAAAAACTTTTATTATGCTTTAATACTTTAGCATTTATGATGACGATATATTAAATTCTGATTATAGACAAAAACATTTTGTAAACACGAATAGTGTAAAACAATTTCATTATATTCTAAAGTAATTATTTATTTGTTTTGACATTTATAATTAAATACATATTTATATTAAGAGAGTGATTATTTCCCCTATTTCACTTGTCTTAAATAATTTCCCAGGAATTGTGTTACGTTCATCGTTTTTGGTTGTAATATATATATATATATATATATATATATATATATATATATATATATATATATATATATATATATATATATATATATATATATATATATATATATATATATATATATATATTTTGTTTAGATTGATACAATTCTTGTTTTGTCGGCCTACATTGTGTGTTTTTTCTTATTTCTTCAGAGTGCTACTTTCAATTTATTTTATATCATAACGAAGTAATGACATACAGCTACTAATTATATATATATATATATATATATATATATATATATATATATATATATATATATATATATATATATATATATATATATATATATATAATACACGTATATAGATCGTGTAAAAATTCGGCGCCTTTTTTTGCTCTTTTCGCTCCCCCTACAACGAAAACCTGGATACGCCTCTGGGTCCCACCACGCCCAGTGGCGACCCCACATTTACCTGGTCAGGTACACCGTGGGGAGGGGAATAAAAAAATACCCCAAGTCTGTTTTTTCCCAGAGTTCCAAAGTAAATAACCCCGACCCCTGCTGGCGGTCAAGGTCAACAAACATTACCCAAAGTGTATTTCTTCAAGCAGCTCTAGAAGCGGGGAAAATGTCTGCCAAATAAGCGTGAAGTAAAAAAATTCTCCAGCACACTCGATTTCTCTACCGGCAACTGGCCCAGGCAATCAGCGAGTGGCGTTAACTCCCTTGGGATCTCGATCGGCTGGGTGTCGCTACCCAAGGGAGGTTATTGTGTGGATGGGCGATAAGCTCAAGTGATCTACTAAGGCGATCACTCCTTCAGTGAAATATGAGTTATATATATATATATATATATATATATATATATATATATATATATATATATATATATATATATATATATATATATATATATAATTTAATATATATATATACATATATATGTATATGTGTATGTATACACATTTGTACATACAACTGTACCTTGCCTCTTTTGTTGAATACAATCTTAATTTATACTTGGTTAAATTCAATTCGACATGTGTATTCAACTGTGCGTACAAGTGATCCAACTGTGTGCACAGCAGTCCTACTGTACTAACTGTTGCGCTCCCAGTCCGGCCAACCAATGTCCACCATCCCCCAGGAACCGAGCGCCATATTGATCCGCTCCCATGTGTCGTCTGTCTCAAATTCATTGAGTCGAATCCAGTGATCTCCCCTTGCGACGGCCAAGCGTGAAATGGCTAACCACGACAACGTCAGGGGGCGCTGCTGGTCGTGATGAAACACCTTCTGGGCCAGGGGGCGCTGTTGGTCTTGATGAAACCTTCTGGGTCAGGGGCGCTGTTGGTCGTGATGAAACACCTTCTGGGTCAGGGGGGGGGGGCGCTGTTGGTCGTGATGAAACACCTTCTGGGTCGGGGGGGGGGCGCTGTTGGTCGTGATGAAACACCTTCTGGGTCAGGGGGGGGGGGGCGCTGTTGGTCGTGATGAAACACCTTCTGGGTCAGGGGGCGCTGTTGGTCTTGATGAAACACCTTCTGGCCCAGGGGGCGCTGTTGGTCTTGATGAAACCTTCTGGGTCAGGGGCGCTGTTGGTCGTGATGAAACACCTTCTGGGTTAGGGGGCGGTGCGGATCTTGATGAAACACCTTCTGGGTCAGGGGGCGCTGCTGGTCTTGATGAAACACCTTCTGGGTCAGGGGGGCAGTTGGTCTTGATGAAACCTTCTGGGTCAGGGGCGCTGTTGGTCGTGATGGAACACCTTCTGGGTCAGGGGGCGCTGTTGGTCTTGATGAAACACCTTCTGGCCCAGGGGGCGCTGTTGGTCTTGATGAAACACCTTCTGGGTCAGGGGGCGCTGTTGGTCGTGATGAAACACCTTCTGGGTTAGGGGGCGGTGCGGGTATTGATGAAACACCTTCTGGGTCAGGGGGCGCTGCTGGTCTTGATGAAACACCTTCTGGGTCAGGGGGGCAGTTGGTCTTGATGAAACCTTCTTGGTCAGGGGCGCTGTTGGTCGTGATGAAACACCTTCTGGGTTAGGGGGCGGTGCGGGTCTTGATGAAACACCTTCTGGCCCAGGGGGCGCTGTTGGTCGTGATGAAACACCTTCTGGGTCAGGGGGGGCGCTGTTGGTTGTGATGAAACACCTTCTGGGTCAGGGGGCGCTGTTGATCTTGATGAAACACCTTCTGGGCTGGTTTTATTTAAGGATAAGATCATTTGGCGTGGAGCCAGTAGGGCCTACAATGTCACCGAATAGCGGAGATTTGAACTCACGTCCATAATGTACTTTAGACTACACAGTCCCCTGATGTCGGACCACGGAGTTACTCGGTGGGCGACAGTCAATTAGGATAGGTTGACATTGTGGTCCAGTGGTGGCCCATCATGTGGTGGCCCATCATGTGAGTGTGGTGGCCCATCATGTGAGTGTGGTGGCCCATCATGTGAGTGTGGTGGCCCATCATGTGGTGGCCCATCATGTGAGTGTGGTGGCCCATCATGTGAGTGTGGTGGCTCATCATGTGAGTGTGGTGGCCCATCATGCGAGTGTGGTGGCCCATCATGTGAGTGTGGTGGCCCATCATGTGAGTGTGGTGGCCCATCATGTGAGTGTGGTGGCCCATCATGTGAGTGTGGTGGCCCATCATGTGAGTGTGGTGGCCCATCATGTGAGTGTGGTGGCTCATCATGTGAGTGTGGTGGCCCATCATGTGAGTGTGGTGGCTCATCATGTGAGTGTGGTGGCCCATCATGTGAGTGTGGTGGCCCATCATGTGAGTGTGGCGGCCCATCATGTGAGTGTGGTGGCCCATCATGTGAGTGTGGTGGCCCATCATGTGAGTGGGGTGGCCCATCATGTGAGTGGGGTGGCCCATCATGTGAGTGGGGTGGCCCATCATGTGAGTGGGGTGGCCCATCATGTGAGTGGGGTTGCCCAACATGTGAGGTTAGCCCTTGTGGTCAGCCCTGGGTATCAGTCCAGTGTATACCTTGTGCGCCATTACGGAACCATTGACATTTGAAATCAAATTTAAAAAAAAAATAAAAAAACACTAAAAGATCCGGATCAAGAGGGTGGTGGGGGGGGGTGTAGGCTAGAAATCGATTTGTCGCTTAGAGTGCAACATATTTTAGTGTTTTTTTTCAACTTGAACAGTTCGTTTTTACTTCAGCAGACCATTTTAACACCACGATATTTTAACAGACCATTTTAACACCATGATATTTTAACAGACCATTTTAACACCACGATATTTTAGCATAATGTTTGTTAATCCAATGTGTGCGTTGATCCAATTTATGTTGATCTAATGTGTGTTGATTCAATGTGTGTTGATCTAATGTGTGTTGATTCAATGTGTGTTGATCTAATGTGTGTGTTGATCCAATGTGTGTTGATCCAATGTGTGTTGATTCAATGTGCTTTGATCCAATATGTTTGTTGATCTAATGTGTGTGTTGATCTAAAGTGTGTGTGTGTGTTGATCCAATGTGTGTGTTGACCCAATGTGTGTTGATCCAATGTGTGTGTTGATCCGTGTGTGTTGATCCAATGTGTGTTGATCTAAAGTGTGTGTTGACCCAATGTGCGTGTTGATCCAATGTATGTGTTGATCTAATGTGTGTGTTGATCCGATGTGTGTGTTGACCCAATGTGCGTGTTGTTCCTATGTGTGTTGATCCCATGTGTGTGTTGATCCAATGTGTGTGTTGACCCAATGTGTGTTGATCCAATGTGTGTGTTGATCCGATGTGTGTGTTGACCCAATGTGTGTGTTGTTCCTATGTGTGTTGATCCCATGTGTGTGTTGATCCAATGTGTGTGTTGACCCAATGTGTGTTGATCCAATGTGTGTGTTGATCTAATGTGTGTGTTGTTCCTATGTGTGTTGATCCCATGTGTGTGTTGATCCCATGTGTGTGTTGATCCAATGTGTGTGTAGCGGCTACTGTAAAACGTGACTCTCGCCAAAACAATATTTGATGCACGTTTGGACGGACACTCATCACCAGAGAGAAATTCTTTAACCTAATCAAATTAGGCGCTCTAATTATGTCTTAAGCCACCTACAGGGGACCGGATGGTTCTGACAATTGGAAACACTACTAAACACATCATCATGACACCCCACTCGTGCAACACATGACACCCCCCCTCGTGCAACACATCATCATGACACCCCACTCGTGCAACACATGACACCCCCCCCTCGTGCAACACATCATCATGACACCTCCCTTGTGCAACACATCATGACCCCCCCCCCTCGTGCAACACATCATCATGACACCCCCCCCCCCTCGTGCAACACATCATCATGACACCTCCTTTGTGCAACACATCATCATGACACCCCCCTCGTGCAACACATCATCATGACACCCCCCTCGTGCAACACATCATCATGACACCCCCCTTGTGCAACACATCATCATGACAACTCCCTCGTGCAACACATCATCATGACACCACCCCCTTCTGCAACACATCATCATGACACCCCCCTCTCGTGCAACACATCATCATGACACCCCCCTCTCGTGCAACACATCATCATGACACCCCCCTCGTGCAACACATCATCATGACAACTCCCTCGTGCAACACATCATCATGACACCCCCCTCTCGTGCAACACATCATCATGACACCCCCCTCGTGCAACACATCATCATGACAACTCCCTCGTGCAACACATCATCATGACACCCCCCCTCGTGCAACACATCATCATGACACCCCCCTCTCGTGCAACACATCATCATGACACCCCCTCGTGCAACACATCATCATGACAACTCCCTCGTGCAACACATCATCATGACACCCCCCCCTCGTGCAACACATCATCATGACAACTCCCTCGTGCAACACATCATCATGACCCCCCTCGTGCAACACATCATGACACCCCCCTCGTGCAACACATCATCATGACACCCCCCTCTCGTGCAACACATCATCATGACACCCCACTCGTGCAACACATGACACCCCCCTCGTGCAACACATCATCATGACAACTCCCTCGTGCAACACATCATGACAACTCCCTCGTGCAACACATCATCATGACACCCCCCCCCTCGTACAACACATCATCATGACACCTCCCTTGTGCAACACATCATGACACCCCCCCCCCCCTCGTGCAACACATCATCATGACACCCCCCTCGTGCAACACATCATCATGACACCCCCCTCGTGCAACACATCATCATGACACCCCACTCGTGCAACACATGACACCCCCCCCTCGTGCAACACATCATCATGACACCCCACTCGTGCAACACATGACACCCCCCCCCCTCGTGCAACACATCATCATGACACCCCACTCGTGCAACACATGACACCCCCCCCTCGTGCAACACATCATCATGACACCCCACTCGTGCAACACATGACACCCCCCCTCGTGCAACACATCATCATGACACCTCCCTTGTGCAACACATCATGACCCCCCCCCCTCGTGCAACACATTATTATGACACCCCCCTCGTGCAACACATCATCATGACACCCCCCCCCCCTCGTGCAACACATCATCATGACACCTCCCTTGTGCAACACATCATCATGACACCCCCCTCGTGCAACACATCATCATGACACCCCCCTCGTGCAACACATCATCATGACACCCCCCTCGTGCAACACATCATCATGACAACTCCCTCGTGCAACACATCATCATGACACCACCCCCTTCTGCAACACATCATCATGACACCCCCCTCGTGCAACACATCATCATGACACCCCCCTCTCGTGCAACACATCATCATGACACCCCCCTCGTGCAACACATCATCATGACAACTCCCTCGTGCAACACATCATCATGACACCCCCCTCTCGTGCAACACATCATCATGACACCCCCCTCGTGCAACACATCATCATGACAACTCCCTCGTGCAACACATCATCATGACACCCCCCTCGTGCAACACATCATCATGACACCCCCCTCGTGCAACACATCATCATGACAACTCCCTCGTGCAACACATCATCATGACCCCCCTCGTGCAACACATCATGACACCCCCCTCGTGCAACACATCATCATGACCCCCCTCGTGCAACACATCATGACACCCCCCTCGTGCAACACATCATCATGACAACTCCCTCGTGCAACACATCATCATGACACCCCCCCCTCGTGCAACACATCATCATGACACCCCCTCGTGCAACACATCATCATGACACCCCCCCCCTCGTGCAACACATCATCATGACACCCCCTCGTGTAACACATCATCATGACACCCCCCCCCCTCGTGCAACACATCATCATGACACCCCCTCGTGTAACACATCATCATGACACCCCCCCCCCCTCGTGCAACACATCATCATGACACCCCCCTCGTGCAACACATCATCATGACACCCCCCTCGTGCAACACATCATCATGACAACTCCCTCGTGCAACACATCATGACACCTCCCTCGTGCAACACATCATCATGACACCCCCCTCGTGTAACACATCATCATGACACCCCCTCCCTCGTGTAATACATCATCATGACACCCCCTCCCTCGTGCAACACATCATGACACCTCCCTCGTGCAACACATCATCATGACACCCCTCCCTATCGCCACAAGCGTCACACGACAACACGTATCGTCGCCTGTGTGTCGACCAGGGCGCGGGCGCCGCTCCACCTTTTGAACCTCCCAGCTGAGATTACAGCTATTAACTCCCTAAACGTGCATTGTTGGCAATTTGAATCTTTGAACCGGTCGTTCAATAGCCGGCTCGTGCAAACCTCACGACCGCCGGCTCCTGTAATCTCCCGTCGCCGATGCTGTTTTGGAATCCTCTCGTTCTGACATTAAAAAAACGGTTAATTGATTTTGTGTAGAGATGCGAATAGTTGGTTTTTTGTGTCTAAAATAGAAAAAATAGATTTACTCAGGGTTGTAATGGAAGTGTGGTGACGTCACGGGGGTCCGTGTTGGATGTCGGCGACGATACGAGTGGTAGATGTGACGTCATAAGGATGTTAGAGAAAACGAGTGTGATATTTAAGTAGGCCGAGGTGGGACTCGGCGTCATTGAAGTTGTATGTGTTGATGATGAGGGATGTTCCTGGTGATGTATTATGTATTGATGATTGATATTCTAAGTCAAGTGATAAACATGCATTCATGTGACGATTCTCTGGGTTGTTTGAAGTGACGAGAGATGTTCTGAGTGAGGTTTTCTATTTTAAAGTGATGTTTGTTGTGATGTTGTATGTGATGTTTTCTATTTTAAAGTGATGTTTGTTGTGATGTTGTAAGTGATGTTGTAAGTGATGTTCTAGGTGATGTTCTAAGTGAGGTTTTCTATTTTAAAGTGATCTTTGTTGTGATGTTGTAAGTGATGTTGTAAGTGATGTTTGTTGTAAGTGATGTTCTAGCTTAAAGCAGCCTCAAGATCTACGCAACAGTTGAATGATTTACAAAGGAAATAGGAAAGACATAATCATTTCCTTATGGTTAAAGATTAAAATCGTAAAGAACTTTGTTAATTGATCTAAACTTCAATCCCGTGTTTATTTCAAGAATGAAAGCAGAAATAATTTTATTGAAAACAAACTTTGAACCAAACAACTGATTTTCGCGAGATAACCAGTTTTATATCTGATTTTCGCGAGATACCTAGTTTTTAATCGACCAATCCCACATGACCTAATGGGAGCAGCATTCAGAAGAAACGAAAACACAGAAACGCGTGATCTAACCCACAATACTAATGTACATGAGCACTTGCTAGATGATTGTGTTCCCAGTTGTTGCCCCTGGTATTGTTTACACACAGACCTACATCCCACAGGTCACGTGACGACAAAAGTCGCACGTCGTGTGTGTCTACATTTTAAATGTGCAACAAAAACCCTTGTGTTGGGGTGGTTTTTTCACCAGTCGTTAGGCAAGACCTCGGCTCGTGCACGGCTGGTTCTGCTTGGGACCGGCTCTTGGAATGTTTATCTGATCGGGGCTGTGCGTTTAAAACAATGTAGACGTTTTCGGCGATTAGCCGAACCGTTAGGTGAACCAGTTGAAGTCAGCTACATCTGCGGGGGCGTATTGTGGCGTAGACAGGAAGAGTAATGTTTGTTCCGTTAATTAGAAAAGATGCAATTAATAATCGTGTTTTTAAAAGTCGATTAATTGTTTTTAGTTAACTGTCTGAGTTACTTTACAATGTAAAGCTGGTTCCAAATGGTTCCAAATATTTGTTGCCAGAAAGCATATTTTCAACCAAAATCGAATATTTTATAACATTTGTGTAATAAGTGCAAAATTACTTCCGGTTAATTAACAAATATTCAAACAAATAATTACAAATAATATAATAGTAATTCAGCTAACACTTTTATTTTTTAATTTGGATTAGTAGAGTCAGGGTGTTGTGGTGATAGGGGACGTTATATTATTTAATATACATTTATAAATACCATACTACACTATGCACCATAGACTACTATTGTGTAATTTATCTTGAACAAATATCTTTCTGACTTTTATTGTTTTACTCTCCCTGGCCATTCCGGTAGAGTTCAAGGGCGTTTTTTTTTTAAATATTTGAATTGATAAATTAATGGAGGCGAGCGAGTTGACGAGATTCCGTCCCCAATGTTGTTGACATGGAATAAAAACGTGCTTTTTAGATTTAGACCGTAAAAAAAAAAAATAAAAAAAAAACTTAAGCCTAAAATTAATTTAGAAATTTTATATTTTTAGAATAAATGTTATAAAAGTTGCAAATCCAGAGAACTTGAAAATAATTTGTTGAGTTTAAGGCTACATTTCTATTTATTTTCATCAAGCCTAAGTTATAACCGGATGTTTCACTTTCGTAAGACAAATATTGATTGGCTGTACAGTAACTTAGTGATCGATAACTATTTGTTTACAAAACTTTGCAGATCAAGTTTTTAAATTACAATGCAAATTTAAAACCCCATGACCTAGTTTTCTATTTTTAGCTTACAATGTGTACAATAAAATCAATGGCGGCCTATCCAATAGCAGGATGCCATTGTTTATGTCGCCATTACACGTGAAAACCAAATTGTTTTTGCTTTTTTTTAAATTTTTATTTAGTTACCGAAAATATTATAAACATCAAATACATCCAATCTTTAGTAAAGTCCGAAAAAAACCAGGTAGACAGGATTTTATAACCATATTAATTGTAACTACGCTGTGCATGATTTTTAAATGAATTTATACACCTCTCAAATACCTTTGAGACTTTTCTCGCTGGTGTCCATTCTAGACGTCTTTCCAACCGCTTATATTCAATACAAAAATATGAAAATTAGAGTAATCGATGGCTCCCAAATATCTTTAAGTTTTTAAAATGTAGCTATAATTTTATCGCTTGCCATTTTTTTAAATATTTTATTTTAATTTAGTAGATATGTTTACATAGACTTTTGGGGCCTAATGGACACCAGCGAGTTGACGAGACTCCTTCCATAATGTTCTTGACATGGAATAAAAACGTGCTTTTTCGATTTAGACCGTAAAAAAAAAAAAAAAAAAAAAACTTAAGCCTAAATTTAATTTAGAAATTTTATATTTTTAGAATAAATACTATAAAAGTTGCAAATCCAGAGAACTTGAAAATAATTTGTTGAGTTTAAGGCTACATTTCTATTTATTTGCATCAAGCCTAAGTCATAACCGGATGTTTCACTTTCGTAAGACAAATATTGATTGGCTGTACAGGAACTCCGTGATCGATAACTATTTGTTTACAAAACTTTGCAGATAAAGTTTTTAAATAACAATGCAAATTTAAACACCATGACCTAGTTTTTCTTTTTTTAGCTTACAGTGTGTACAATTAAATTTATGGCAGCCTATCGGGATGCCATTGTTTATGTCGCCATTACATGTGAAAACCAAATGGTTTTTGCTTTTATTTTTTACTTTTATTTAGTTACAGAAAATATTAAAAACATCAAATACATCCAATCTTTAGTAAAGTCCGAAAAAACCCAGACAGACAGGATTTTAATACCATGTTAATTGTAACTACGCATTATTTTTAAATTAATTTATGGACCTCTCAAAAACCTTTGAGACTTTTCTCGCTGGTATTCATTGAAAATGTTAAAAAATTAAAACATGTAAGTTTGGTTTAGGTTAGTGTGTAAGGGATAGGTTTAGGTCAATATCCTTGTCAATATCTTTGTCAATATCTTTGTCCTGTCAATATCCTTGTCCTGTCAAAATCCTTGTCCTGTCAATATCCTTGTCAATATCTTTGTCCTGTCAATATCCTTGTCCTGTCAATATCCTTGTCCTTGTCAATATCCTTGTCCTGTCAATATCCTTGTCCTTGTCAATTTCCTTGTCCTGTCAATATCCTTGTCCTTGTCAATATCCTTGTCCTGTCAATATCCTTGTCCTTGTCAATATCCCTGGGGCGAGTTGAGTGTGAAGACCACGAGATGAACTGAGTCTTACATGTTTTTCACGGGGACGGGACAACCCAGACACAGCCAGGTGCCACTTGCGCGAGTGTTGGACAATTTCACCAGTATGTTAATACTTATTCCCCCCCCCTTAATTTCACCAGTATGTTAATACTTATTCCCCCCCCCTAATTTCACCAGTATGTTAATACTTATTCCCCCCCCCCTTAATTTCATCAGTATGTTAATACTTATCCCCCCCCCCCCTTAATTTCACCAGTATGTTAATACTTATCCCCCCCCCCTAATTTCACCAGTATGTGAATACTTATCCCCCCCCCTTAATTTCACCAGTATGTTAATACTTATCCCCCCCCTTAATTTCACCAGTATGTTAATACTTATCCCCCCCCTAATTTCACCAGTATGTTAATACTTATCCCCCCCCTTAATTTCACCAGTATGTTAATACTTATCCCCCCCTTAATTTCACCAGTATGTTAATACTTACCCCCCTTAGTTTCACCAGTATGTTAATACTTACCCCCCTTAGTTTCACCAGTATGTTAATACTCCCCCCCCCCCCCCCAACTCCCCATCTTAAAGAAAATGTCCTCTTCAAATATTTGATGTGTGTTACCGTGTGAATCCACCATAGTCAAGTATCACCGCGGCGCCTTCAGATCGAAGTCACGTGCCTGGTGATTGTGCTGGGCGCCCAGGTTAAGCTCCCCTACAACATATGTTGGCCATTACTCGCCAATCATTACTTATTCAGCACTCGAACAAAACTCGATAAACGTTACTTACGCGAGTTGAGTTACAGTTTAATTTAAAATTTTATCGCTTTTACAAACTGTTCAATAGATATAACAGTGCAGGGATTTGTGTTCATATTACATATGATCTTTAGCGGTATATATATATATATATATATATATATATATATATATATATATATATATATATATATATATATATATATATATATATATATATATATATATATATATATATATATATATATATATATATATGTGTGTGTATGTGTGTGTGTGTGTATCGAGAGAGAGAAGCTAGCTATACATCACTGTCACTCAATTCTGGGCCGTGAGATGTAATTAATCTTAACCTTACTCGATTATTTTCCAGACAAAAATGACCTCCAACTTCATCACGTGACGACATTAACCTGGCCAATCAAATGACGTAACGCTGGTGACCAGATGGACCTTCTGTGAGAGTAAGTCAGTTTTTCTTTTAGGCACAGCAGTACTGACATAGGAGTCATGCGGTCAGTATCCCATCCCCCACATGCGGTCAGTATCCCATCCCCACATGCGGTCAGTATCCCATCCTCCACATGGGGTAAGTATCCCATCCCCACATGAGGTCAGCGTCCCCCAAACAACACGGACTAATGTGAACTCGCATAACGCGACAGAAACGCTGTCCGGGGTGGCCGCTCCCCTTCTCCCCTGCTGGTTACCCCTCTGAAGGGCAGTTTCCCCACGATTAATGATGTCGTTCCCACGATTAATGATGTCGTCCCCACGATTAATGATGTCGTCCCCACGATTAATGATGTCGTCCCCACGATTAATGATGTCGTCCCCACGATTAATGATGTCGTCCCCACGATTAATGATGTCGTCCCCACGATTAATGATGTCGTCCCCACGATTAATGATGTCGTCCCCACGATTAATGATGTCGTCCCCACGATTAATGATGTCGTCCCCACGATTAATGATGTCGTCCCCACGATTAATGATGTCGTCCCCACGATTAATGATGTCGTCCCCACGATTAATGATGTCGTCCCCACGATTAATGATGTCGTCCCCACGATTAATGATGTCGTCCCCACGATTAATGATGTCGTCCCCACGATTAATGATGTCGTCCCCACGATTAATGATGTCGTCCCCACGATTAATGATGTCGTCCCCACGATTAATGATGTCGTCCCCACGATTAATGATGTCGTCCCCACGATTAATGATGTCGCCTAGACCAGCTAAACAGCTGTAGATCTGCCGGAAGTCAGGATTAGGCGTGGCTTTTGTTTTACTTGTTTTTTTTTATCTTCATCTGGAGGTAACAGTTAAATCATCGATTGGACACCCTCAGTCCCTCTATACCGCCCCTCCCCTAATACCGCAATCCCCTGACTCACCCATCCATCTCAACCTCAGTCCCCCCCCCCCTCCTTATTACAGAGGACAACTCCCCAGCAATTACCTGACCCACAGCGATCAAACGTTTGTAACGGCTGTTTTTTTTTCTTCTCGCTACAGGTGTGACATCCGTGTGAGCCACTCACCTGCCCAGAGCGTTACGTCACTGGTAAAGCAATGGCTGTGTGTCCTTGACCTGACACCAGCCTGACACTTTTACCCCAACTAAGAATCTACCAACAATTGGGGTAACACTTTTACCCCAACTAAGAATCTACCAACAATTGGGGTAACACTTTTACCCCAACTAAGAATCTACCAACAATTGGGGTAACACTTTTACCCCAACTAAGAATCTATCCACAATTGGGGCAACACTTTTACCCCAACTAAGAATCTACCCAGTCAGGGCGGTCTGATGACGAGGCCCCTGTCGCGCATCAACAGCCCTTCAAGATTTTCTTCCTGGCGAAGATCGTCTGCTCCCTCAACGTGTCCGGTGTGCCTGCAGATGTTTGTTCCATTTGACCCCTGAACTTTGGCTGAACCCCATCTTAACAAGCTGACCCGGAAGCATCGCGGTCATGCTGTAAAACTGCTGACGAGATAACTGACCCAAAGCCTTAACCAAACCTCTAGGATCTACCATTCCTCTAGGGAGAACCTTGTTTTTTCCAACCCGCTGATCATCGACCCAGCAGCTGTCCACCCCACCCTGCCCAGGATTTGTTCCTTTGCCCGTGGGTCTCGCCGATGGTTGAAGCCACCTATGTCTGGGACCACACACCCCGAGCTCATAGCTCCACGAGATCTTACGGCTAGGCTTTTGAACTATGCTCGACGGGTGCGGTCAACATGCGCGCGCGAGATCTCCAATTAGCGTAGCTGTGCTGAGGCGAGTGGTCCCCCCTGTTTTCTCTCTCCTCATGGTCGGCTCCCTCCTGTTGGCGGATGGTATACTTCCGGTGCGGGCCACCAAGTATCCCTCGGAGTCGTCGCTCTACATCAACGGTAAAATGGCCCACCCGGGCCCACACGGGAGTACGTCCCGCGCCGCAGGGGCTCACCCCCGGGGCGCCGGAAGAAATCACTTCATGAACAGCCTCCCCCACTTCCGGACAAAGCTCCACGCCAAAACTCCCGCCAAATCTCCCAAGATGGACGACACGCTGCTGGTCGTTGACCCCAGCGTGGGCGTGGCCAAGCCCTATGACCCTTCGCAGACCCGGAACAAGGGGAGTGAGCTCCAGTCGTCCCCTGTACCCCCCACCAAAGGTCAGAGTTCAGCCCCCGATGTGGTGACTGACCCCGCCCCCCTGACAATGCAGCTGACGCCATCTTCCTTCCCATGCAACGCCAGCCTGACCTGCGCCCACAACTCGTCCACCGAGAACACGTGCCCCAACGAGCCGGCGCCCAGCAGTTTTCCCGCCAACAGAAACCAATGTCTGCTCCTGTCAGACGACACGATCCGGAAGGTGTGCGGACTGTTGAACGAGACGGAGGACGAGACGAAGATGAAGGCGCAGCTCAACAGTACTCACCTCGGCTTCTGCACGGTGTACACGCTCGGCGTCCTGGTCTCCCCCACCCCCAGCAACTTTACCGGCTGTGTCCAGGCCTTGAGCACGGTCAAGGCCACGGACGAGGACGTTGCCTTGAACTATAAAGGGTTTGAGGATTTAATTCGACGATATGACTGCAAGACCAGGTACTCGGTCAAGTGGAACTGTACTCACTGTAAGGTAAGCCTAGGGTGGTGAGGTAAGCCTAGGTGGTGAGGTAAAGCCTGGGTAAGCCTGGGGTGGTGAGGTAAGCCTGGGGTGGTGAGGTAAGCCTGGGTGGTGAGGTAAGCGTGGGCTGGTGAGGTAAGCCTGGGGTGGTGAGGTAAGCGTGGGCTGGTGAGGTAAGCCTGGGGTGGTGAGGTAAGCCTAGGGTGGTGAGGTAAGCCTGGGTAAGCCTGGGGTGGTGAGGTAAGCCTGGGGTGGTGAGGTAAGCCTGGGTAAGCCTGGGGTGGTGAGGTAAGCCTGGGAATTGTGGTAAGTGTGGGCTAGTGAGGTAGTGTATATTTTACGCGCACATGAAGCAGCAATGTCTGTATTTGCAGCTGATTTTGTTTATTATATTTTGGTTGTAACATCTGATGTGTTAAACATACTAGCATGCTCTTCTTGGTTGATCATTACACCAAACTGAACCAAATGGGACTTAGAAACTGGAAAAATAAACTCGGTGGTTTTTAAGGACCACCTTGATATTCAAGTGATATAACACACGTCCGACCCCGAATAAATGATATAAGGTTGTTGTATAGACCACCTTCAACACAAAATACCAAAACCATGAACCACTATTGCTCTCTTTTGTTTTACGCAATATGTATACCATCCCATAGATTACAGTTTATCGAGTGACGTCATTTATGTACAACTCGAAAACTATTTCTGTTCTGTACACTAAGTTTCGGCCTCCGCCATATTGGAGGCTGACGTCATGTCCGGGGATGCGCTGAGGCTACGTCACAGCTTGCGCCTGCCACTTGAGCTGATAGCATCCGAAAGTGTAAACGATTTGGCTTGTAGAGTATCGGGTGACATGTGGGCTGGTACCTGCTTGGTTTACCTTCAATCTGTTGGGTGAGTTACACGTGCATGCCTGGTCACAGCGTTCACTGAAACACGGAGTTTACCTGGGGGCAGGGGGGAGTAAACCCATCCCCCCCACACACACACCCCATGGACCATATGACAGCTGTCCCACTTCAAGTCATACAGTTGTCTGGCAAAATACACTCGCGACGCTTTTTGACAAGTTTATATATATTTTTTTTTTTCGTTTGTAGGTTCCACTTGATCAGAGCATCTGCAATATTTTATAGAACTGTAAAATACGTATTGTTGTTGAGAATAATTTGGTTGTTTTTTCAAACTATGTTATACACAAATTTATTTAAAGATTGTAATTAAATTTATATATACTCAACTGTAGAAACACAGTTTTAATTATACAAACAAACAACCAATGTTTAAACTGTAGATCTCCTAATTAAAAAACACAAATTTATCTAGCTCGACCGATAAACTAGATTTAAGATGTCGGAGTATCTAAGCCAAACAAAATTTAATTTGTTAAAAACAAAAACAAGTATAAAAGCAATAAATAAGTGAGTTTTTCTACTTAACTATTTTAGACCTTAGGTGTTTCAAATAAATCTTTGTTTTTCAGCAGTGGTATAGGTTGTATGGTAAAGTTGCGTTTCGTACATGGCGGGACACGGGCAGGTGAAGTAAAATTCACCTGTTTCTGAGACTTCAGCAATGAAGGGATAGTGTGGCCAGACTTATGCTCATCCGGAATCGGTGTTTTTATAAGACAGGAACATGTTTAGGCATGACGTATGTTAGATGTGGGGGGGTCTGGCTTTTTGTCATGAGGAGTGACAGTGAGGAGGAGGAGAGGGGAAGATAAAAATCGTCAAACAAGCGTGACGCCATTTACAAATTATGATTGACTCTTAAACCCACAGTTATCCAAAGGATAATGGGTGGTCTAGTCTATTATAAAATTGTAAAAACAATTTTTTGTTAATATCTAGTTTGTAATATTACACACATTTCATCTGACACAATCCCCCCACCCCCCCCCCACCACAAACACACACTGTGTGTCTGTGTGTGACAGACGTCTGACATTCAATCCCCTCCCCGTAGCGTCGAAATGTGACAGAGGTAACCACCCGTGTGTTGTCGTCCACCTCGTCTGGCGTCTCGCACCTGACTGCAGGTAGACGATTCGCTTGAGTGATCTTCAAACCATCACTGCTACACTAGACTAACACTAAACCAACATAAGGGGCGGTCAGCATTCGTGCAAAGTCCAATAAACCGGGAGTGATCTTTCCTACACTTTCTCTAATATTCTTATATAACACTACGGGGGATGGCACCTCGGGATATAGACATGATTTTTAATCCATTTTTAGTACTTAAACTTTTAAAAATAAAATAGAATCTCGTAGAAAAAAGAATTGCAAGCCAAGTGAACGCCAAATAAAATGTGTATATATTATTAGTACTTTATTTTAAAATTCACATGCGTTTTTTGAGAAATCGGAAACAGCCTAAATTACTACATCCGGTCAACGGAAGTTACTCAAAATTTGACAGGAGGCAGAGAGTTAGATCTTTTACTTATATGTCAAATTTCATTCATCTACCTGAGATAGTACTGAGATAGTACTCAAGTTATAGGTTTTTGAAAAATTGATAGTAGAAAAAGTTCCACTTCCGGTAAATCGCTTCCGGAAATCGCGGAAACGTTGATACGGATCTATAAATTTGATATAATACTTAGATATGAAATTTCTTTAACCTAGCTGTAACGGTACTCAAGTTATCGTGTTTACACACACACACACACACACACACACATATATATATATATATATATATATATATATATATATATATATATATATATATATATATATATATATATATATATATATATATACACAGACATACGGACAAGATTGCAAAAAAAACAAAAAAAACAATTCTACTCAGGGAGGTGTAAAACGCGAGATGTGCAAAAATCTCTATTTTTTTTTTTTTTTTTTTTTTTTGCACGATTACAAGACTTTCTCTATACTTCGTATATACGAGAAAGTAAAAAGTCTGGGAATTTAATTTTAGAAATAACATTTTTTCTAAGATGTCCTTTAACTTCGGCGTGTAAACCTACCGTGTGAATGTGCTAAGACTGTCTAAAATTGTTCTGTAAGGAAAGAGAGATCCCGCAAGGATACTGTGTACCTATCGATTTTACACACCATTTTTCCTGAAGGTAATCAGTTGCAGGCAGTCATAATTTTTTAAATTTAATTTAAGAGGGTGGGTTAGTGGGGCTGTAGACCGAACTGTTTGATGTCGTCTGTGGCTGTCTAGCTATTAATGGGGTGAAATTCGGCTAATCAACATGACGTCATATTCAGTGTTTCTTCCAAACTTTTTTCTCCGGGAGGGGGGGAGGGGGTCTAAAACTTTGGGGGGGGGGGGGCGCGGACGCTGTTAAAAGTATATATTTTCTATATAAATTTTCTATATAAATTCCATTTCGTTCGGGGGGGGGGGGTAGACTTTCACCCCCGAAGAGATGCCTGGAAGAAACTGGTCATATTACTTTAACGGAACCTTACGGACACTTCTCGCTATATGTATTTCCATAACGAACCCCATTCTACATGAGCCTTTATTTAAAGCATGGTTATTTTGAGTTTTAATTACTTGAAGAAATAGCTAGATCTACATCGTCGTAAGCTTTGACGCAAAAATCTAGGCCTGCTATGATTTGGTTGCACCATCTATCACAGCCTAGGTCTAGATCTAATTGTTTTTTAAACTCTTTGAAATGTTTAAAAGATGAACTTGAAATACCGTGAAATGTTTTATAAAATTACAAAATTGCGCGGTCAAGCCCCCCCCCCCCCCTCCCGCTTTTTTCTTAGGCGAGCGGTATACAATTACATCTGATACGTTTATTCACTCGTTGAGCAGGTGTTTTTTTTTGACAACACGAGAACTGCCGATTTCATTCACACATTTTATCTGCAGTATTTCAAATGTAAGTATTTTGTTGTTAAATTCAACATGTGGACGTCTACAATTACGGACATATCCCCCCCCCCCCCCCCCGTGTGGACGTCGTAAATTGATGACCTCGAATGGCATACAAAGAATTGACCATACAGACATTCCTAACTACCCCACACAAGACAGACATTCCTAACTACCCCACACAACACCACACAGACATTCCTAACTACCCCACACAATACAGACATTCCTAACTACCCCACACAATACAGACATTCCTAACTACCCCACACAACACCACACAGACATTCCTAACTACCCCACACAATACAGACATTCCTAACTACCCCACACAAGACAGACATTCCTAACTACCCCACACAACACCACACAGACATTCCTAACTACCCCACACAATACAGACATTCCTAACTACCCCACACAATACAGACATTCCTAACTACCCCACACAACACCACACAGACATTCCTAACTACCCCACACAATACAGACATTCCTAACTACCCCACACCACACAGACATTCCTAACTACCCCACACAATACAGACATTCCTAACTACCCCACACAATACAGACATTCCTAACTACCCCACACAACACCACACAGACATTCCTAACTACCCCACACAATACAGACATTCCTAACTACCCCACACAAGACAGACATTCCTAACTACCCCACACAACACCACACAGACATTCCTAACTACCCCACACAATACAGACATTCCTAACTACCCCACACAATACAGACATTCCTAACTACCCCACACAACACCACACAGACATTCCTAACTACCCCACACAATACAGACATTCCTAACTACCCCACACAACACCACACAGACATTCCTAACTACCCCACACAATACAGACATTCCTAACTACCCCACACAAGACAGACATTCCTAACTATCCCACACAACACCACACAGACATTCCTAACTACCCCACACAATACAGACATTCCTAACTACCCCACACAATACAGACATTCCTAACTACCCCACACAAGACAGACATTCCTAACTACCCCACACAACACCACACAGACATTCCTAACTACCCCACACAACACCACACAGACATTCCTAACTACCCCACACAACACCACACAGACATTCCTAACT